AAATAAATATATATATATATGTAAATGTGAGTTTATGTATATATATATATATATACAACCATAAACATGATAGCTAAGTTTGTTGATAAGTAGATCAATTATGGTTTCGGGTAGATTTTTCTGTTGGGAGGCACCACCTTGTGGGAACATCTGATGTCTCTCAGGGTTGCTACCTAGTTTCCCTCCCTTGCATCTGGGGCGTTGGGAGCAACCACGTCTTGGGGGTATATGAAACCTACAGTATCTGAAAATGAAGGAACCGTAAACAGCAAAAATAGATAAAAATAGGACGATTTATCATCAAAGGCGATGGTAAGTGTCCCATAGTGACTCGTGACATCTATGGGAAGGCTAATCCTGGAAAATTCCCCATGATAGTTGAGTTTCCGATTGAAATCCATTTAGTTCGGGGATTATCCATTGCCATGTTTGATTCTAGAAGGGTAACCCTGGTGTTTCGTAAGTTCTTGGAATGCGCATCCAGTGGAGTGGCCTGGAGTGGATAGAAATCCACAACTGCGTTTCCTGTAAACGTCTACAGTTCGATGTGGAACCCCACCATTTCAAAAGATTCTTTTCCGAACAGGCTTCCCCCATGGGTTTTCCACATCATTTGCTGAGTTTACCCCGTTTATCCCAAGATTTTCCATCGTTTTTTCCATATTTTTCCATATTTTCCAACCTTTTTTGACGTTTTTTCCACATTTTTCCATAGTTTTTCCACATTTTTTCCATAGTTTACCGGTATATCCCAATATAAACGGACGTTTTTTCCACATTTTTCCCGTTCAAAAAAGCCCCCAATTTCCGTAGGATTTTCCCCCGATGAGCCCAGCTCCAAGGCACCACCGCGGCACCTCGCTGCATTCCGGCGACTCGGTTTTTTCGGATGGGTGAAGGTGAACAGCGCCAGGGAAATGAATAAATATACTATGTAATCTATAGTATGATGGATATATCTATAATGATGGATATAGTAATCTATAGTAATCTATAGTATAATGATAGTATGGCTATAGTATGATGGATTTATCTATAGTAATCTATATGATTTATGATGGATATATCTATAGTAATCTATAGTGAGATGGGATTATAAACCAACAAACACTGGTTGGTGGTTTCAAAGATTTTTTATTTACCATAATATTCTTACTGACTGACTAAGTTTTTTTTTGAAACCACCAACCAGATACCCTCTGGTTATTTAAGGTAGCTGTGGGAAATCACCATTTTGAATATATAGATAAATCATAAATCAGATGTTTTCTATAGCTATGTTCAATAACCAGAGGGTATATGGTTAATCAAACATATATCAAAATGGTGTTCAATAATACTGATGAATGGTATTAACACCCATTGATGACATCTTGATGATTCTTAGTGGTTAATCAATGGAGAATCAAACGTATATCTATTTATTTATTTATTTTTTTGCGCCATCTACTTTCACAGCGGTGGAATATATTGCACTCACAATGATTTCTCAGTGGACAATTATTATTATTATTATTCATTATTTATTTTTTTTAAATACACAATGGACTATGAATAAGGAGATGATGGGTTAAACATGGGATATTTCACCTTTGGTGTCATCAAACATGGCTTTCTGGACAAATCCACCAGGAATAGTGAGATGATTTTTCCAGCTCAAAGCCTTCATTCAGGCCATGCGGATGTCCCGGCTAGCCACGTGTGATGACACCCGAGGGTGCCATTGAAGTTCCAATTCATTCTTTAGGGAATCTTTTAAACAATCAGGCAATGTTAATTCTAGGAATCCTAGCTTGACATGATTTTAGCAAATTGCCACTGGCATCCACTGGTAAACTAACATAGCTATTGCAAATGGCCCAGTCGACATAGTGGATGTACCATGATTTACCTATAAAAAATGGTGGATCTTTCGTGGATCTTTCCATAGCTATTTTGACATCACCAGAAAATAACTGGGTTGCACATATCAATGGATTGGTTTAAGGGAAAATTTACAGGAAACCAGAGTTATTTTCCCATTATTCATATGGGGTTTTCCGGTTAAAATTTTCCCCAACAAACCAATCCATTGATATGTGCAACTTGCCATGCTCAGGACGCGGCTGCGGAGTGGGAATGCCATGGCTTCCGCACTGGCGAGGATCAGGCGTGGTGTCGCAGCGTCGGAGTGGACGGATGCACGGAGTACAAGGCGTACCGATGGTGGGGGATGAAGTTTTGGTGGTTGGGAAAGGGGGATTCTACATCACATTTAAAGATTGAAACATATATCCCATATATTATGGAAATGGTGTTTTAATGGGATTTTAATGGGATTTAATGGGATTTATCAGGATATATGATGGTATACCCTCTGGTTATGTCAAATTAGCGAACTTGAACATGGCCATAGACATAGTGGATTTACCCAGCTAGAAAATGGTGGATCTTTCCATAGTTCTGTTAATTTACCAGAGGGTAAAGATATTTATTGTACATTTCAATACCAATGATACGTTATTACATTATGATGTATTATGATACTACTCCTGAATCATCTGAATCTAAGTAGGTGTTTTAGTGGGTTCCCAAGCCTTCAGTGCGGAGCTGATGGGTCATAAAGGATTATGAAACTGATTGGTAAGGGTGTTCAAGGCTGTCAGCGGCTTAGTTCACCATGCAGGGTTTCTGTGATGGCGAAACACAACCACCTCTGCACCATTTGGATGTCTCTGAAGATGTTGGATACCTCAAAGTGGCAATTTTAAGAGGGAAAGTGACAATAAATCATCACAAACCATGAAATTTCGATTTAGTTGCCCAAATTTTCAGACAAACCCAAGATGAGTTCCACTTCCAACATCCGAAAGCCTCCCATTTTGCCCGGTGAAAAATCCCCCATTTTTCCCAGCCCGACCCAGGAGAACGACCAGTCCAGCGAGATGAGCAGCTGCGGCAGCTGCAGCTGCTGCCGCCGCAAGGTGAACTTCGTGGAGAGTGGCAGCAACCGAACCTGCGCCGCGGCGACGCTGGGGGTGCTGGGGCTGGGAGTAGTGGGGGTAGTGGGAAATGGCCCAGTCGACATAGTGGAAATACCATGATTTACCCATGAACAGTGGGATTTTCCATTATAGATAGTGGATTTACCCAGCTAGAAAATGGTGGATCTTTCCATAGTGATGTAAATGTTTACCAGAGGGTAAGTTGGTTTATAAGTCCAATAAATATAGAGTTTATGGATGTTTATAGTAGATAAAATCTATAGTCACTATGTTTTTTTTTGAACCAACTTATAAGTGGGGTCACCACCTTGTGGGAGTTGGGGGTGATGATGTTGTCCTTTTTTTCCAGAATTTGACGTGAACTTTTTTTTTGTTTTTGTTTCAATTTGATGATGGGTGATGTTGATGATGTTGTTGTTGTTGTTGATGATGACGAGGATCTTTTTTTTTTCGCCTGATGTCTGAGAGATTATGTGTTTTTTGTTTTTAATGTCATGCTGATTTGATGTCTTGATGGTTTGATTGGATGATTCTCTTTGGAGATTTCACTGGGTCTGTAGGAGTTTGTGGGTATAGCCATGGAAAATCATCACTTTAATAGGTACATCCTCTATAAATGGGTAATTTTCCATAGCTATGTTAAATACCAGAGGTTATAAATGGGTGATTTTTCCATAGTTATATCTACCATAAACCCAAGTTATTGGAGCTATAAACCCATGTTAAATAACCAGAAGGTATATGTATTTATGGTACCTGAGGGAATCAGATGGTTGACGATGCTTCTTTGTTTCCTCCAAGTTTCATGGTGGGCTGATGGCTTTGGACCCCCGGAGCTTCCTCAACTACATTAGGGGCACCATGTGAAACCCCATTGAATCCCATTGAATCCAATTACACCACCATTAAATAAACATAATAAACCCAAAGGCTGCGTGTTGTTCAACGACCTCTTCCTGAACTACACCGTAACATCGGACCTGAGCCGCTGCGCCCCTGAGCACGTGCACGTGGAAGGCGCCGTCGGAAAAAAACCGGTGGTTTTTACCGGACAATTTCTTGGATTTATGATTATAAAATTCTAGTAAATCAGTATTCACAAAAAATCTGGGAGTCTTAAAACTTACATACTCCTACTGACTAAGCAAAAAACCTCAGTATGGCTGTGTTTTGAACTGTTCAGCCATAGCATCCTGCAGGCACCACCACCACGACCACTGCACCGTTGCGAACCTGCAGTCCACGCCCGATGACCTTGGAGGAGAGCTTGCCCCATGGCTGGTAGCCATCAGGGATTTGATACCCAGTTTTCCGTGGAAAAACATGGGAAAAGATGGCAAAAAGATGGGGAACAGATGGGGAAAAGATGGCAAAAAGATGGGGAACAGATGGGGAAAAGATGGCAAAAAGATGGGGAACAGATGGGGAAAAGATGGCAAAAAGATGGGGAACAGATGGGGAAAAGATGGCAAAAAGATGGGGAACAGATGGGGAAAAGATGGCAAAAAGATGGGGAACAGATGGGGAAAAGTGGGAACATATGGCGAAAAAGAGTGGGAACATATGGCGAAAGATATGATTGATCCCACGAATTTGAGCCAGAATGATGTTCGGTGATTTTCATCAATGGGAGTGTAACAACCATAGATATGGAGATGGATAGAATTGATATGATCCATATAGATGATGGAGGCAGGAAGGGTTTTGTTATCGGCTTCAAAACCACGCAGTTCTTGGGGTTTACGAGATTTGGCTATGCATTGAAGCCTGATCACGGTGCAATAGATTCCGTAACTCTGCAGCGGAATGTATGATGTTGCCAGAGAACTGTTAACGTTGTTTTTTTTTTTCAGAGAGTTGAAGCGATTGGGGTATCCATGTTTACGATTTCCCTAATGGGGGGCCTTTTCCAGCTAGGGCTTTCCCAGGCACATGATACTTGGGAACGGGAAGTGCATCGCCCATCCACCAGAGATCAGCCTCACCCCGCAGGAGGCGCATATGGCAGGCAGTACCATGGCGTCGCCCTTCTATCTGGGGGCTGAGGAGCGGGGCTTGGGGTGTGATGGTCTCCTCAGGGTGGCATCCAAAGGGGTGAGATCTGGGGTATGGCTAGAAAGTTTCCTCCAGATATTGGATGAATGGTATACATTGAGTATTTAACTTAGATACCCTCTGCTAAATAAACATAGACCCTGAACATCACCCATTTTTAATGGAAACTCATCTTCCAAATCTGGCAGGGTCGAACTGTTAATTTACCAGGGGGTATTTCCTCCAGATAGTGGATGAATGGTATATTTGATACCCAAGGGCCTCAGCATAATTTTGGTGCTTTAATACAGACCATATCTCGTGGATCCATGGGTATCCCATGGCCGCTGGTCACCTGCATCGCCCAGGAGGATTCGTTGACCCTGCAGGACCTGTTGGACTGGAGCCGGCGACGGATGAGTCGCTGCGATGGATGTTGGGATGGGATGATTCCTGTAGGATGCGGCGCCCCCAAAAGGTGGGTTGACCCTCCCAAAAAATGTCTGGGTTTATTAAGGGCGCTTATGAACCACCAAGAACCTACGTATAATTTGGCGAATCTTAACTTGGGGGAGGTTGGTTGAATATGGTTGAATGCCCATGAATGATGGGGAGGTTGCTTGAAACCTTGTTGGTTTTGAAGAATAAATGATCTGGCATTTCTGTATATCATATGCAGGTCTCAGGTTTCCTGTAATGTTTGTATGGCAACTCCAGTGAAGTTTTTTTGGTATGGCCAGAAGAAGGAAAGGTGTTTCCAGGATCTAGGAGCTGCCAAAAAGGCTAGTGACCTGAGCCATGAGGATATTTGGCTACCATTTCTGTAAGCTTTGCACCCGGAACTCCTCAAGACATCTTTCTCCCTCCGCAGAAATCAGTTCCCCACCACCACATCCGAAAAACAGCACCGAATTCGCCAGTCATTTTGCCACTTCGATCCGCAACCACTGGATGTTTTACCCTCTGGTAATTTAACATAAACTATGGAAAATCACCATTTTCAATGGGAAAACTCACTATAAATCACCATTTTCAATGGGAAAACTCACTATAAATCACCATTTTCCATGGGAAAATCCACTATAAATCACCATTTTCAATAGCTTTTTTGACATAACCAGAGGGTACCCTTGGAACATCCCGCCCTGCGACCGAGGCGAAGGCGAGGCGAGCTTCGCGTCGACGGAGTTCCAGCGGGAAGCGTCGCCCAAGTCCTGGGAGGACGAGGCGCTGACAGCGGCTGATGGGGCGGGATGGGTGGGATTTTTATGTGAGTCTATGGACTTTCTTTTGTGAGATGGGATGGGATTTTCTGATATATATATATTTTTTTTTTTTAAAAGTAGTAATGTACTGTAGTTCCGAGAGGATTTGGCATGCTTTAGGATAGAGAACCAACTTGGAATTACAGTGGTGGCGTTGGTATATCTGGCGGCATATACCCGCGCCAGGTCTTCTACAGCATCCTGGTGGATCGCTTCGCCAATGGCGACATCACCAACGACAACAGCAACCTGACGATGGTCGTTGGGATGACCTTGGAAAAGATGGGGTTTGTTCCACCTTGAAGCGTTGAGTTTGTTGTCATTCTGGGAATCATTGGAAAGGTGATTTTTGCCTCTTGAAGTACTGGATTGTTGTCATTTTGAAGGTTTCATTTGGGTATTTGGGGGTGATTGGCAGCTTCTGAGCAGCTTTTGCTCTGTCCTGAAGGTGTTCTGAGGACGTTAAGTTATATTTTCTCATGACTTTCCACTTATCTTCCTTGCGCCACCTGTGCAGTCTAGACTCAAATCTCCTGCAGTTTCAAGACATGAAGGCGTTGATATCTGTTGGGTGGCGCTGCTCTACAGTGCAATGGAGGCGTTTCAGCCGCTTGGCACCCAGATCACCACCACTTTGGTGGCAACAAGGCTGGCCACGGAAAGGTGCTGGCAGCGTTGCGGAGGCGGAGTTGCTGGCACCATTGGGAGAGCTGCTGATGCCCGGCGTGCTGTTGGGAGACATGTTTCGGAGTTTCAAAGGACCTGCAGGCTGGAGCAAATCTTATGTTGAGCCAGATTTGACGACTTATGGTGTGCTGAAAGACAAGACTGCAGCGCTCTTCGTGGAGTATGATGGGTACTGGCGGCATGCGGAAAAGGAAGGCATCGTGCGAGATAAGATGAAGAACGAGGCTTTGTTGACATTTTCGCCTCCTGGTTCCTACGTGGTCAGAATAAATCACCACAACAAGTGTGATATGGAAGAAACCATTTTGTGGATCAGCATCAACACTTGGAGCAGAGGAGATCAGAAGTCTCTTACGAGGGCCTTGAGCAATGTGTTAGATGAGATGGTGCCAAGACTTCAGCATGCTTTGGTTCCAAGTGTGCACAAAAGGTTGGAAGCACATTTGCGGACTCAGAATCCATTTCTCGTATCCAGATCTGCCCAAGAATTTCGTGAAACAGCTGTAGTCACGGCGAGAGGCAACACGACAGAAGAGATTTTGAACTATTTGAAGACTAAGGGGTTTGGAACAACATGCCTTGACCAGATGGGAAAGCAAGTCCTGGTGAGTGGGGTCTCCATTGAAAAGACTTTGGAGCCACTTCTTCATTTTCTGCTTGACTTGGGGTTGAGCATGGGTCAAGTGGCCAAAGCACTGGGAAAATGTCCAAGGCTGCTCAGCTACAGGATCGATCAGAATTTGAAACCCACTGTGGAGTGCTTGATAGATTTGGGGCTGACGAGGAGTGAAGTTGCAAAGACAGTGGCCTCTTTTCCTGCAGTTCTTTTTCTCAGTATTGAGCAGAACTTGAAACCCACCATGCAGTGGTTGTTGGACTTGGGATTGAAGAAGAGTGAAGCTGCCAAGGCAATTGCCATTTTTCCCCAGCTTCTTGCACTAAGTATCGATCAGAACTTGAAGCCCACAGTTCAATGTTTCTTCGACTTGGGGCTGACAAAAAGTGAAGTAGCGAAGGCAGTGGCCGCCTTTCCTCAAACTCTCGGGTACAGCATCCAACAGACGTTGAAACCTCATGTGCAATGGCTTTTGGACTTCAAGTTGACAAAGGGTCAAACTGCAAAGGTTGTGGCCAGTTTTCCACCAATCCTGGGCCTCAGTATCGAGAAGAACCTGACTCCCAAAGTGCAGTGGCTTCTGAGCTTGGGGCTCACAAGGAGTCAAGTTGCTCAGGCAATAGCCGAGTTTCCACCTTTTCTTGGCCTGAGCAGTGACAATCTTTCTGGCAAAGTGAAACTTCTGAAATCATTTCTCACACCCAGGGGTGCTGCTGAGCTGATCGCATGTAGTCCGCGCATTTTGTCCTACCGCCAGCAGCGTTTGGAGCACCGTTTGAGCGTTTTGGCCGAGCAGGGTAGTCTTGCGAAATTGGCCGGTGCCATGACTCGGACTGATGAGGTGTTTCACAGACGCTTTGTAGCTCAAAAATGGACGAACGCCTTCCACAGTGGTGCATCCGGTGTGTTCCAACTGAGATATGTTTGTTAGATCGTCTTGTTCTCAACAGCGAATCTGTTGGGTTTCAATCTCTGGGGTTGGGGACTGGTGATTCGAAAATGCACGCCCCGAAAAACCGAAACAGTCCTGGAACCTTGCTAGAACCTTTCGCTGTTGGGTTGCAAAGCTGGGCTAATTCTATCAAAAGTTCCGGGAAAGGCCCCTGCAATTCACAGCGATTTCACCATTCATCTTGGTTCCGGGTGAAGCACCTGTCGCAGCTTCTTCAAAGCAACCCTTTCTGGCGTCGGAAAAAACCAGCTGTTGCTGAGGCAACATCCCCGACTTCCAGCGGGAGCAGCTGAAGTCCAAGAAACCGTGGTTGGGGGGCCCAGACTGGCCACTGCAGGACTCCGCCCACTAGAAAGTTTTTGGTATTGCAATTTGGTCAAGTAGACCGTAGACCCTCAAAGTCTCAAATCAGCTGATTTTTTGGACCATGTCCACACCTTGCCCCCAAGAAATGAGGTCAGTCCAGCGCTGGCGCCATGGCGGAGATTTGCACGGCGTGAAGTCACGCCTCAGCGCCTTGGTTTGGTGAAGCTGATTTTAAGTGGAACATTGGAAACTGGGATGTCTTTCATTTGGATAACTTTCAACACTCCTGCCTTTTTGCCTGAGGGGTCTGAGGAAGGAAATCTGTGAAAGAATCGTCAAACTCAGATCTAATTCATCCTAAACTGCTCAAATCGATGCGTTGTCTTGGCTTGTCTAGGGCGCAGTTACATCACATGAGACATACGCTCCTTCCAGCCCCGAAATCACCTGGAGGCCATCCCCCCAGCGACTCCCCCTCCGCTGCAGGTTACCTGAGGGATTTGGGTGTCACCGTCCTGGCCTTGTCGCCCATCTTTCTGAACAGCCGCTTGGAGTCAAGGGACGGGACTCCTCACGGGCACCTGGTGGTGGGTTGATGTGGCCAAGGGCAGGGTGGCGAAGATCACTGTTGAAATCTGAGGGTTTCGGTAAGGGATAGCACCAAGGATAGACTTGAAAGTTGAGGGAGCTCGTTTCTGCAAAACGACTTGTCAGTTTGCAGGTTCAAGTTTGTTTCTTGCTGAGAAGTACATACTTGAACCAGAAATAATCTTGAGCCAGATCCTTTTCCCTCGAAATCTCATCTCCCAAGCCATGGTCAATCCATCTACAGCCGCCATCAACAGTTGCTCGCTAGGTGCTGGAGAGTATCATGGCTCCTGCACAACGGACAGCCATTTGCTGCAGGGGTTGATGTGTGGTATGCTGTGCCGCTTTTGGGCGTGAGTGTAAGTGGAGAGAGCAATGTACTGGTAGGTGTGGCCTGAAACTATTGGCAGAACATGTCAACTTAAGAATGATGATATGCTGATATATTCTGACCATTTTTGAACAGGACATTTCCTGAAGTAGAGACACCTTGAAACCTTCAGCACCAGATGATTCGACGACCACCCCAAAGCTTGTTCCATTCACTTCGAATGACCGCTGTTGATGGCTCACTGCGAGGACCTGACCAGCATCGACTCGAACTTCGGCAACAAGGACGGGGTTCCTGGTTCAGCAGTTCATTTTGGATAGATTGTGAACAAAATCAGTGAAGAATATGTTTTTTTTTCCAGATGTGGTCCTTGGTGTCTGGGGAGAATCTACAGGAAACCATAGGAAACCTACAAATCGGATGGTGATGGTCAAGCTACAGATTTCCTATAGATTCCCCTTGAAACATGGTAAACATATTGTTTCCTCACGATTCTTCCCTTGAAAACAATCCAGTGAGCCCTCAGACAGCTACGAATTCTCCAGGAGTTGTTGAGGGAACTGGTGCACGATGCGCACACCTTGGGTCTGAAGGTGGTCCTGGATGTGTTGCTTGGACTTGTGGGAAACCATGGGGCTTGGACTAGGCTGGGAAGGGTTGGGATGGTTGGGTTGGACTCAGATTTTGGTGACTTTCCCAATAAAGTACAGACAGTCGGGGTGGTCCCAGTTGTGGACCTGTCCACCTGTCCACCTGTCCATGTTTCTTAGATCTGCGGCGTACATCATACCCAAACCGCAGGAAGACTAACCACGTTTCAATCCTGCGATAATGGACTCCTACCAGTTCTGGTTTCCCACATCTTCCCATCATATACCTGAAATTACAACGCTCATTAATCATGAAACCCATATAAAAGCCATATAACCCACCCATTAAACCCATATTATAACCATATCATATAACCCAATCCAATGGCGGTTAAGCAGATTTTAAACAGCCCATCCCAAGGCAAGTGAACCACGCCTGCGGCGGCGGCTTGAAATACCTGGGCGCCAACAGTGGCGTGGACGGTGTCAGCAACTGCGTCCTGTCGCGCCTCGGCTCCTGCCGTGGTCGGAATGACCCAACGGGGATATGGGACCAAAATGGGTGGAAGATGGGTTGAGCATGGGTTGAAGATTGGGTATATTAGAGATACTGTAATTCGGAATGATTCGACATGTTGGGATGATTTGAATATATATATTTTAATCATACAATGGGGCGACATCACAACGATGCCAGCACCACGTTACCAGAAACGATGCTTGGAAAGGGTGTATAAGTATATACCAAAATGGCTTCATTTCCGCATGGCTGGGAGATGAACATTTGTTCCAGTGGGTTTGGGCACTCGCTGATTACTGCCCTCACATGTCCAAGCTGGGATCCAGGAATGCATTTGAAAATGGTTTTGTTGGAGAGGAAGACATGGAACCGGCGATGTTTGATTGGCAACTCCTCCAAACATTTCCAAACGCAGTGTTGGAGTCCGTGGATTTTTTCTGGGTAGTTGATGGGCCTAATTTGGATTGCCACGTTGCTTTTCAATTCAGCAAGCCCTGTGAACATCTTCAACATTTCCCTTGCCTCCGAGTCAAGACCTCTAAGCTGCCTTCAATGAATAGTGGCCGTGATGAACAACCAACTGTACCAGCTAAATTTTGGTGTTGAAACACAGGACAAACATGAAACTTTCTGATCCAGAGCCTTATCTTCAAAGCCCCAAGAACCACAGTTTCGGGTTCTTTCAAATAGCCAGCTGACGTTTGGTGTACTGAACATGCACCAACAATCCCAAAGTCTTGAGAGAAGCTTTGTTTGCTATCAATCCTTGCCTCAAGACAAAACGCTCCCAGTTATGTTACTTTATAACCCAAGCTAACTATACAGATATAATATCCACCATTCGCCATACATCCAACAGCTAGCTAAGTGAAAAAAACACCCACTTACATTTTGTTGGGTAAGCCCTTCCCATGTGAAATGCGCACTGAGGACGGGTGAGACCTACTGGGACTCGGAACGCGGGACGCCTCTGAACGAGTTCGGACGCTGCTTGGCTCCGGGGGCTGGCAGATGGTGGGAAAAAACGTTCGGGATTTTGCCATGAAAAATGGGTTGTATAACTGGTTTAACCATCAAAAATGGTGGTTTAATATATTATTAATATGGTTTAACCATCGTTTAACCATCAAAATGGTGGTTTGATGTGGTTTAATTATCAAAGAATGGTGGTTCAAGATGGTCTGACCATGACCAATGAGGGTGTTACCCTCTGCTTATTTAGCATAGCTAGGGTAGAGATGGCCCCAGTTAGTTTGATGATACATGTGATGATTTACCCATTAAAGATGGAGATTTTCCATAGCTACTTAACTGGATCCATTAAACCTATGTTTTGGTGTCAACAGTTCTCAAGGGCTTTCTGCATGGAGTGTTGCCATTTTCTGGTGGCATTTAATTCATCCATACACTGAGTGAGTTCATTTCCGTTTCATCACATGAAAACCAGATCGCTGATCAAACATTTCAAGTCTTCGGTGCCCCTCAATTTCCAGGTCGCAGATACAAGATCTGATCATTTCTCATGTTTGTTGGTTTTCTTGGTCACAGTCCACGGAGTTGTTATCCATTTTTTTTAGCCACTTCTTGATCATAAATCATTCTCTCCACGATTCCTGATGCACTCTTGATTCAAGGTTCATCAGTTATCAAATTTCATTCATCAGTTCATCACTTCATCCGCCATTTCTTATAGATTTCAATTTCTTATAGATTTCTACCCCCCCACATCTTTCCCCACATCTTCCGTGTTGCTCCACATCTCCCAAGGGCGTTCCCCATCGCCCCATCCGCGTCACCGAGGCGGGCGCCTCGGCTTCGGCGACTCGCTGCCGTCCTTCCTGCGGCACCAGTCCTTCTTCACCCGCTGCGGCCCGGCGAAGCTCTACAGGCGCGACGGCGACGGCGAAACAAAACGATGGTGATGGAGAATTTACCCTCTGGTAAACTAACATAGCTATTGAAAATGGCCATAGAAATAGTGAGTTTTCCCATTAAAAATGGTGATTTTCCATGGCTATGTTAAATAACCAGAGGGTAGATGTTTTTTTTGTTTTAGGACAAGGTATAGGATGTTGATGGATGTTGATGGATGTTGATGGATGTTGATGGATGTTGATGGATGTTGATGGATGTTGATTTTCCTTTGGAATAGGACAGTAAAGCGATTGTAATTTAGTTTTTGGATAAACAAGGTGTGGATTGTTACAATTATCTGATTCTATAATTAGAGATTGAACCAATCTATCAAATTTATACGATATAATTGTTCCAAATTGGATTACTTTCGCAAACTATCTAACATTGAAATCTAAACCAAATTCTTCAATCTAAAATACTCAATCTCGTTTCGATGTTTCTCGATGACTTCTACCCTTTGCCAGGCCCGGCGGCCGCGACTTCCGCTCGCTGCCGGCCGAGAACGCCACGGCTATCGCAGCGGGGTTGTCGGGGACGCCCAGCGGGGCTGGTGGATGAATGGTGGCGGCGGGTGTGAAGTCTATTGGTTACTGACATGGGTGGGAAATTCAAACCATCCATGTCAAAATGGGTATGGATCAATACCTATTAATACCATTTTTAGTGGGATGAACATCCATTTACCAGCTATTTTGATGTGAACTACAGGGGTACTATTGGTTTTGACACACTGCCAAATGTCAAAACCAATAGAATACAATGGTTTGGGACCAAGGATGGTGAAACTTTTTTTTTTAAAAAAATGAGCAATTGGATGGTCCAAGCGAGACATCCTTTTCAGATCCAACACTTCTGCGATTTTGAGCAAAACATTACCCAAACAACGCTTGGAAGAGGACATCATTTCCAACAAACAAATGGTTGTTACCCTCTGGTAATTTAACATAGCTATTGAAAATTGCCATTTATAGTGGATTTGCCCATAAAAAATGGTGGATCTTTCCATAGTTATGTTAGTTTACCGGAGGGTATCTGGAACTTGGTGGGAACACCGAATCCGTGCCAAGTGACCGTAAAGTTAAAACATTCACCATTGAGACATGATTCTGGTCTTTCGTCGAAATGGTTCTAGCCCTCCTCTCCGGTAATCCGTGATTCCTGCAATGAAGACATCTTAAGCATCTTGGAGTAGCCTTCATGTCGAGGAACCACTGTTTTGAGGCCCTTGTCATGTCACAGCCATGCCGCCAAGGCTCTTCCCAGAGATCTTCCAGGAGACATGGCTTGGAGTTTCCCAAAAGCTGGGTCGTAAGCTTCTGAAACGAAGAGGAACTTGCTGGTTGGAAGAGGGGATTTTGGGTGTCTCCAAGTCTTTATCGCAGGTCTATGGCTCGAATTTCTCAAACATATGAATCCCAGAATTGTTTTTTTCTTGTTCAAAATCATGGAATTTCTGGCTCCAGTGGCTCCCCTACTATTGAGCCATGCCAACTTTTCCCCAGGACACGGCCTTTGAGCTGAATACCATGAACCCCGTGCTGCAAGAGCTGTACACCAATATGCTGAAGCCCCTTGGATTCCAACTTTTTGGGGGATGAAGAAGTACTGAACTGTGGGTATTTTTCGAAGAAAATGGTGAAGTTTGCTGGATAGTAAGCAGATAGTAAGCAACGAAGAGGGAGTGATCTCTCACCCGCAAACTATCAAACTATCCCTCAAAGAAAACTCCGTAGCGTTCAAAGGCTTTACTGTAGAGTCTTACAACATCTCCAAACAAAAGTTTGGTGTGGACATCAGCTCCAAACTCATCATCCGAACGAGATTACAACCGCCTACTGGGTACAACCCCTTATAATTCCTAGATGTTTGGCCATCATCAACAGGTTTCTTAGATCTTTGCCAACCTTTCCACCCTGCATCCCCCTGGTCATCCCCCAGCGCCGCGTCCACGCGGTGACTCAGGTACTGGATCGCCGAGGTGGACCTGGATGGTTACCGCCTCACGGCGGCCTCGCACGTCACGGCGGACTTCACGGTGGGGGGTGGTGTGGTGTGGCTGGGAAGGGGGTTGGGGTTGCTGGGGTTGCTGGGGTTGGGTTTTTGGGTTGATTAACATGGCTTAACTGGATTTTTTTGGGGAAAATGAAGCTAGTTTGCAAGGTTCGAACGCATTTTGAAATGAAGAGAGACGCATGCAAACTTGAACTTGGCAATGGTTACATGTACTATCATGTACTGTAATCTTAGAAGAGTATACAAGAGTCAAGCTGGTATCCCTGGAGGATGCTACCACAACATGATACTGCCGCGCTCCATGGAGTGCCCTCGTGCACAGCCTGTGCAGGCGTACCTCTCGACACACCTGCGCTTCTACGCCTCCGCGTTGGGCAAGGAGAACTTCTTCATCGTGGGAGAGGTGAACCAGGCGCCGGAGTACAACGTGAAGAGGTTCATAGCAGGTATGGAGATCGAAGACAAGAAACAACAATGGAAGGTCCCACAAAAGTAAGAGGAGGACTTGGATCCAGCACTTGCATTTTTCAACCCACAGAAACTGAAGCTGAGAATCCCAACCAAGATCCATTTCTCATCATTTCTCCTTTTTATGTTTTTGAACATTGGAAGCTAAGCCAGAATAGCCCAAGATCCATCTTGTTAGTACTTTTTGGTATATACTTTTTTCATGTTGTTTCCTTTGTTTTTTCCGCAGCTTCTCAGATGTCACTGGTGGCTTCATCCGCCATAGCCCCGCCACCCCCTGTCCCGTTGGGAGGCCACCACGCCCTTCGGCGAGAGCTACCTGGGTCGCGTGCAGGGCCGTGAGGGGCCGCGGACGCTGCCGAAGATGCTTGGGATCGAATTGACTATGAAACAACTATGGGAATTTATGGTATGTTATGGATAAATCAAATTATGAATATACAGGGATTATAGGGACATAGTGGGATATAATGGCATTTAGGGTAGATGGTGCCCCTAAACGATAGCTAAGTTGGTGCAAATATATAACAACTAGTTAATGGCTTTATAAACCAACTTCTAACTCTGGGGCCTCACCTTGCACTTGGGTGACATGGGTGTGGCTTTGTGTTGCCTTCGTTGAGCCACTCACAGGTGAAGATTGAGCCACTCACTTTTCTTGGGCAAGCTGCGTTCTTTTTTTACTTTGTGAATGTGCAGTCTTTCGCTGTGTCCTGAGGAAAGTGCAGGGTGTTTTGGAGGAGCTGTGCCAGTTGCCTGTCGCGAAGAGATCTGGTGCCGGGAGGACTTGAGGTCTTGGACATTTTTTGAGATGCTGACCTGATGAGAGGTATCGAAAAGTCGAGCATGACCATTTTTGAATGATGTTCAATATGATTTCTCATCAATTTATCGTTTTTTTAGTTCAATGCATATTAATTGCCTATATGTATAATGCATCTATTTAGATTTCCGAGTAAGGAACAGATTCGATTCTGGCTGCGGAGGAGATGTTGACCGCTCCATCAACACTGTTCAAATTGAAGACTTTGCTGGTTAAACGCGGCCACCCAATTCGAATCGTGGGCTTGAGGGTCGAATACATAACCCTTTCCCAAATCATGGTGAAATTGCCATGTAGATCCGTAAACAGGGATGGAATGATAAGTCAAACTGACAAGGCTTGGGAAATCAGAGTTGATATGACTGCTTGATCCTGAGGTATTACAGTGCGCTGCCTGACCAAGAACCCGGGCTCCTTTCGAGCTGCCTGGCTAGAGTCGTTTCTGCTGGGGTGATCTTGGCAGATTGGAATCTTCTGGGAACTTAAAGTGTTTTCTGGGGTGAGGTGTTGATTCCAATTTTTTCAAAGTTTGGGGGTTCCTTACTTCCTTGCGGACTCTTGGACCTTTGTATCACCTAAAGGGTGGCAGGTTTTCATCAGGATCTGCCATCAGGCTCCCAGGCCCATCCGTCCATCGTCTGCCCTTGGGGCGTGTGACATGAAGCGCCCCGCGCCACGTTGGAACCCGCGCCACGGGCGCCGGGGGACTCTCCTCGTCATGTTGATGGCGGTGGTGCCGATGGCTTTTGTGGTGCCGGAGTGGTGGCGACAAGGAGAGGGGCAGTCTCTGCGTTGTCGTAAAAGTACAGTTGGATCTTTTTCCGTTTCATCAGGTTTGTTGTGTCTCAAGCCTCTCTTGATTGAAACAGATATGGATTTCACAATGAGCCTGGAATATACCTCATCATTGTGCAATCCACCCCCCTTTTCAGCATGACACTTTTGGTACTTGTAGTCTAACGGCAACCATTGTCACCTGAAGGATGGCCACGACAGCAGATGAACAGCATGGCTGAGGCGGAGTTGCTATCGCAAGTGGCTGCCTTGTTGATGCTGGATTCGGCTCCCCTCGAAGAAATGTTCCGTAACTTCCCAGCCCCAGAGGGGTGGGGTGGAAACTATTTGGAACCAGATCTGAGTTTGTACGGGGTGTTGAAAGATGAGGATGCTGCATTATTTGTGGAATATGATGGATATTGGCGCCATGAGGAAAAGGAGGGGATGGAGAAAGATATGAAGAAAAATGCGGCGCTGTTGACCTATGCCCCTGCAGGGTCATATGTGATTCGCATCAGCCATACCACCAACAGGCCGTTGCAAGGGAATGTTCTTTGGGTCAAGGCTGACACCTGGACTCGAGGTGAGGAGAAGTCACTGTCAACTGTGTTGATGGACATTTTCGTGCAGCTGAAGACTTCTGGTTTTGTGGAACTGGTGCATCCGAGAGTGAGAAGTCGACTGGACAGTCACACTTGTAGCGGTAGCAGCAAACTGTCATTGGAGGCACAGCTGCTTGTACACGCAACGGTAGTGGTAGGAAGTGGCAATACAACAGATGAAATTTCGCACTTCCTGTCTGCGAAAGGATTTTCACTTCAAGATTGCAAGCTGATGCAGCAGCAGGGAGTATGTTGTGGAACGTCGATTGAGCGGACATTGCAACCCAAAATACACTGGTTGTCAGACTTGGGGCTGACAAAGAGTCAGGTCGCGAAGGCAGTGGCCACTCATCCTCTGATTCTGGGCTACAGCATCGATCAGAACTTGAAGCCCACAGTGCAATGGTTGTCAGACTTGGGGCTGACAAAGAGTCAGGTTGCGAAGGCAGTGGCCACTTCTCCTCAAATTCTGGGCTACAGCATCGATCAGAACTTGCAGCCCACTGTGCAATGGTTCTTAGACTTGGGGCTGACGAAGAGTCAGGTTGCGAAGGGAGTGGCCAAATTTCCTCCAGTTCTTGGCCTTAGCATCGATCAGAACTTGAAGCCCACAGTGCAATGGCTGTCAGACTTGGGGCTGACAAAGAGTCAGGTTGCGAAGGCAGTGGCCACTCATCCGCCAATTCTCTGGTACAGCATCGATCAGAACTTGAAGCCCACAGTGCGATGGTTGTCAGACTTGGGGCTGACAAAGAGTCAGGTTGCGAAGGCAGTGGCCACTTCTCCTCAAATTCTTGGCCTTAGCATCGATCAGAACTTGAAGCCCACAGTGCAATGGCTCTCAGACTTGGGGCTGACAAAGAGTCAGGTTGCGAAGGCAGTGGCCACTCATCCGCCAATTCTCTGGTACAGCATCGATCAGAACTTGAAGCCCACAGTGCGATGGTTGTCAGACTTGGGGCTGACAAAGAGTCAGGTTGCGAAGGCAGTGGCCACTTCTCCTCAAATTCTGGGCTACAGCATCGATCAGAACTTGCAGCCCACTGTGCAATGGTTCTTAGACTTGGGGCTGACGAAGAGTCAGGTTGCGAAGGGAGTGGCCAAATTTCCTCCAGTTCTTGGCCTGAGCATCCACAAAAATCTCAAGAACAAGGTGAAGCTTTTGCAATGGTTCCTGACACCCAGCGGTGTTGTAGAGCTGGTCGCCCAATGTCCCCGGATTCTTTCGTACAGCCAGCAGCGGCTAGAGGATCGCGTGCGTGTTCTTTCAGATCAAGGCAGTTTGGGCAAGCTGAGAGGTGCAATGACTCTGACAGAAGAAGCATTCCACAAGCGTTTTTTATCGCTTGTAGTGCGGAACAAGAATGGATAGCAATGGAAACAATCCTCGCCGCCTTGAATTTGCTCGGGAGGAAACTGAAAAAAAGGCCAATGCACAGGGTGTTTGCCAGTTAGAGCAGTAAGCCAGGTTTGCTCACGCTGCTATCAAGCGAAACACACTCCCAAGACAGCCTTTTTTCAATCGTAAAAGCGTCTTGCAGTTTGCCAAGTTGAACACATGAATTCCTAATACAAAACCAACAAGACAATGGATTGCCGGACACTAGTGCAGGTTTGCTTTGGAAGATAGAAATGCTCTTGATTTTTTGGGTGCATATGTTGTTTGTCCCCTCCCTACTTCTGTTGGATCCTACCCCTAGTATCCCCTAGTAGCTTATGCACTAGCATTTCCATGAATCCTAATGTAGCAATTTCCCCTTTATTACTCTATCCCCTCTGTTCCTTCAATCAAGAGAGAGTTCAGAATCAGATTCAGAATCATATAGCATCATATAGCCAGAGTTCTTCCCCAGTTTTTTCCTGTCCCATTTTGCTCGATACCGTGGCCGGTCCATTTCTGGAGCCCAGGTTATCCGCTACAGGAGGTTTTCCACCTCCGCGACAGCGTGCTGGGCGCCAGCAACGTACCTGGGACGGCAGTCGAGGGAAGTGGTGGGGATGGTGGTGCGGGACGGTGTGTGGTGCTGGTTGAAGGATGGAAAGACGGTTTCAACATGTTTCCAGGGAGAATCAGATTTATGATTTTGAATACGATAAGATTCCTTTTTTGTTGAAGACTTGGTTTGGTGGCAAAAGATCTTCCACAATATGGTGGTGGGGTTTGGAAGCTCAATTATGACAATCTTCACCATAGGCTGACATCCATCCCATGTTCATAGACTTTTGCTGCAATCGGTCATTGAACTGGATCTATCCAGCAATTATATTGATCAGAGCTTGCCCACATGCAAAGCGCTTGCAGATGCTGTAGTTCCTACACTGTATAGTGACTTCAAGCAACAGCCTAGCGCTGGTGCTCCACTTTGGCCCCCTTTTTTATGGTTCACTCACCAAAAAGCGGATCATTGAATCTTCATTTTTTAAAAATTAAATAGTTTGAAAAATCAAGATCTCTCATATAGAATTATATAGATAATGGATATTAATGTCGCTCATCCACAGTGCTTCCTGAAGGCTTCATTTTCACCTGGGCCACAACCCCAATGACCGTGGCAGTCGCCCAGGCCATGGGTCTCTACGAACAGGAGGGCGCCGTTGCGGCCATCGAGCGCTCGCGCACCGCCTTGGCCACGGGGAAGATGCGGCTGGCGCTGGCGGGGGCGGAGACGCTTGGTGGATGTGGTGGGGGTGGGGTGGGGATGGAAGTCATGGTGGTTGGAGGTTTTCTTTACATACTTCTTCTGAGGAGATCAGATAGTTACATGATCTATCCAGGTCTATCCATGTGTTTCGTGCCCTCAAGAGCTATGTTTTCGTTAAAATGAATGAAGGATTCCTTAGAAAAAACGTTTCTATAGTTGCAAACAGAATGTTTACAAATAGAATCTGAATCCAATAGATCTTATTTTAGATTTCGGAACCACAACGAAAAAAACTCATCAAGTTCAACTCCTTGCAGTGACCCCCCGGCAACGGCCTTGCCATGCGCCGCGATCCCAGGTCCCGCGACGTCCGGAAGCTGCTGAGCTCCCCGCGGCAGGGCCACGAGTTGTGGCGCCTCATCATCGCCATGGCCTGGAGCTTCACCTGGTGGGGGCCGAGGGGTTGGGGGATGGGGATGGGGGATGGGGTGGGGATGGGGATGGGCATGGGGTGTTGGGGGTATCAAAAATATACAAAAAATGGGGGATGGGGGATGGGGTGTGGGGGAAATATGCCCAAAGTATGCAAAAAATTGGGAGTTACCCCTCTGATTTAAGGGTAGCTATAGGTATGGATGGCTCATTTGTAGATGATCAACATGATGATTTGCATATTAAAAATGGTGATGTTCCGTAGCTTCGCTACGTTAAATAGCCAGAGGGTAGACATTTTGATGATGGTGGGGGGATGATGGGAAAGATTGAAACTTGACCATCAAACATGGGAAATTAATCGGAACAAATGCAGATTTGGCCAACGGAAGCCATGAGGGACCATTGAGTTCGATGATGTACCTATTAAACTTGGTGATTTCCATAGCTATGTTAGTTTACTAGAGGGCACCTAATTGGGTTTGACCTCCAACCAGGATTGGATGGGCTACAGATATGCGGGATTTGTTAGTCCAAAATGGCCCGCCCCATTTCATGGCCAGTATGATGCCAATGTTAGGCATCAAGCAATGGGAAAAGGTGATGATAAACCATACTTAGATGGGCAGTGAAATTAGTTAAATAGTTAGTAGCTGCTTGATAATCCATTGCGTAGCCAATCATTTCCGCCAGTTCCCAACCACTGAACTAATCCCCGTGTCCATCTAAGTACTTTCAGACCAAGATTGGCCACGCTGTGATGTGCAAATGTGCCAGGTATGGCATACCGGACCTGACCAGCGGCATGGAACAGGGCCTGAATGGCTTGTGCTATCGCACCGATGAGGCATGGGGACCCCTGTGGACGAACGTTTTATGCGGAACCAAGTGATACCCACTGGGGTTGATCTATTTCTTTGTTTATTGGGACTTAATGGGAATATCATGGGAATATAGGAACAGAACCAGGATGGAATATTCTCATGGAATATGAATGGCTGGTTGGTGGTTTGGAACATGGCTTTTATTTTTCCATTCAGTTGGGAATGTCATCATCCCAACTGACTTTAACTCCATCATTTTTCAGAGGGGTAGGCCAACCACCAACCAGATTATTATTAACCATCATTAACCATCATAAACAATATAGTAACCATTATTAACCATATATTAATAGTATATTACCAACCAATGGTAGGTTGAAACCACCAACCAGTTCCATTATTTAATGGGATAATCATGGTGATATTTCCGGTGTCAGAGGGTACACCATCCAGCATGGAATGGGGCCAAAGGGAGTCGCCAGGACGATTTGAGTTGCTGGATATGGCTCTGGTTCGGATTTCCTCGTGACATTTACGGGGCTGTACTCCCAGCCTTTCAATGTCAAAAAAACAAATCCTTGTTGCACCTATCATTCTTTCAATTTCAGAATTTCACCTCCCTTGAATCATTGGATGGGTTTAAGGCCTAAGGTACAGCACATTTTAACAGGACACCTCTATATTTAATGGGGAAAACCCAGGCTTTCCGGTTAAGACTTTCCCTCCAACAGGAGCGCAAGAAGTTGCACGACGACATGGTGGCACAGGGGATTGAAGGTGCGGGAACGGAGTGTTTTACCGATGTCCTTTTCCCATTGGTTGGTTGATGAAAAAAGAGGATTTTGATAGAAACCTCTTTAACAACAGGTTTGTTTGATGATAGATGGGATTAACCAGCTCCCGGCCCCGGTACATTTTTACCAAAAGGACATTAGTGGTTTTACCACCAAGAGCTGGTGGTGTAGATGACGTGATGAGTATAGACATGTGGATATATAGATGTCATGATGTGATGATGTGAGGTGGGGTAGATATAGATTCTTAGATGCATATTTGGCCATGATTTGGATACTTGATGCATATTTGTGGCTTAGAAGCTTTGCCTGAAGAAACATTATGTGATTGTGCAACGATGGCAACATGGGGATGGGCAAAACCTATAATATACATTACTATACTAATATAACAATATATATATACCATGATAAGTATAACAATATGCTAATGTCATATATAGATACCAGATTGTTTTGGGAAGGACATCCCAATCATCAGCTGTTCTTACATATTCACAGCTTAAACCGCAGGGTTTTGATCCATTTGATCCACAAGGCGATGTGGTGCACAGCATCTTGGCGAATTGCGACTATGAGGCGCCCATCGGGACTGGAAGATGCTGCCATCTGGATGGATGATGATAGATGATATGTAAACTGTAATGATTTTGATCTATAATGATATATCTATGACAGATGATTGATGATCTCTATGATAGCGATATATGATATATGGTTATGATCTATAATGTATATATGGTTATGATCTATGATGTATATTTATGGTTACGATCTACGATGTATATTGATGATTTATGATATTTGATAGTCATAACTGTTTATATCATTGATGATTGACGATGATATAGATGATGTAAACCGTTTTTTCCTCACGATCTATAATATATATACACACGTTTTTTGGGCATGTCTGTTTTGTGTGGAGAGGGTAGATGTTCGTCTCTTTTTTACATTTGTTGGTTGTGGATCATTTTGAATTTGGAACAAAAAAAGGAGTCAATCTTTCAGATTCAGGGAAACATAAGTTTGGCAAGTTCGAAGTATTAACCATGCCGTTTTTGGTGATCAACAGGTTTGACAATCCCCTTTGGTAATCAAACATGGCAATGGACAATCCCCCATTGAGTCTGATGCTTCCCCCATTGAGTTTCATTCTTTCCCATTTAAAACCCATTTAGTTTGGGGATATCCCATCATTGTCCCATTGCATCCCCATAAACATATTCCATGACTAGTCCATGAATAATCCATGAATAATCCATGAATATTCCATGAATAATCCATGAATATTCGATGAATAATCCATTCATATTCCATGAATATTCCATTCATATTCCATTATATCCCACTTATGTTGGTGAAATTACCAGTATCATTTACACCTCAACGGGCTTACCACTGGTCAGTTGGGTCACATCTTGACCCGTTGACCAGTTGCTGATGGTGAGGCCTTGGGCGATCAGACGGACAGTGGCTTTTGGCACCAGGACAGGTTTTCTCAGGGAAGACGATGACCTGACTGGGGCCTCCTCCTGTGTTGACCTGAAATCACATCATATCATGCCAGTTCAACTCAAATTCAGGCCCAGTCGAGCCACGACATAGTCCAAATCACTTGAGAAATCAGTTCCCAAATCACACATGTCAATCCGGATCCAAGTTATTCCAACTATAAATTCAGCTCAGCTCCAAGTCCCGTTGCGAGTTTCCCACCATTTTGGCACCTTGGGGAGCTGCTGCCCGAAGGACTCCTTCCTGGGCGGCCCCATGCGCCTGGGCGCGGCTGTAAAATCGGTGAATCGCGAGGCGCTGAACGTAGGGTTGCTGGATGGGTTGCTGGGGGTTGCTGGGATGATTACCCTCTGGTTATGTCAAAATAGCTATTGAAAATGACCATTTATAGTGGATTTTCCCATGAAAAATGGTGATTTTCCATAATTATGTTAGTTTACCAGAGGGTACTAGTGATGATTGCTGGATCATTCCCGAAAATTCCCTACGTAAAACGCACCAGTAAGTATTTTTCCCATCTTTTTATCTCCAGTACCTTAGATGGATATGGATATCTCCCAGTCTCAGATAGTTTTTTAAAATATTTTTTTCCTACAAAATCTCTGCAAAACCTCAGATCTCCGAGCCTTTTTTGCTGGATTTTGGCAGGTGGGCATCATGAACCACCTGATGGGTGCGGGTGGGCCGCACTGGTGCGAAGATCCGGTGGTGGATCGTGAGAACCAGGTGGGGGCACGTGGGGTGATGGTAGGGTCCTTGGGGTGGTGAAAAATGTGGGAGTTTCATGGATTTTCAAAGGGAAATCTATAGATTTTTCAAGTTGTTTCAAGGTAAAATTTTCTGGTAATTATTCTTGAGATTTGCCCAGGAAAAGATGTAAGATGGAGCTGGGCTTTTGAACATTTTTTTCGTGGTGACAAGGGAGAGAAACGAGAAGCTGGAATCAAAAAAGATGACATGGTCATGTCCTCTGGGTCAGCCCTACCATGCCACCAGCAATTCGTTTCTTCCATATCTGACATGTCAAAAACAGATTCTCTATTTTGTGCCAATCCGTTTGGGACTTCCAAGAATTTGGAGAAACCACTGGTTGAACTCTGCGCACGCTTTCAACATCTTTCAACTCCAGGCCTTCAACACAGCCAGAGCATTGATCCGCAGCTCGAACTTCCAAGGGGTGTTGGAAGGATTTCCTTTCCGGGAAGGATAGTCTGCTGGTCCTATTTTGGTCAGAGGTGGTGGAAATGGTGAGAATTCGAAGGGAAAGACAGGGAAATCTGAGAACTTAGGATACGTCCATAGTTTGGATCAGCCAGCGCCGGACTGGGCACTCAATGATGAACAGACTGATCCTTTTCTATTGATGACAATTTTTCTGCTCAATGTCCACCAGTTTTGCTGATGAAGTAGGTGAACTCCCTCAGTTTTTCGAGTCGAATCATATTTACCAACATTTTCTTCCCCCCAATTTTGCTAGTTACATCATGGTAAATCCAGATTTTCCCTAAATTTTGCTCGTTAAATCAGGGTAAACCCACCATTTTGGCCGCTGAAATCACCGCTGCCAAGGCATCCGCCGCTCCTGCTACCCTCTGCGCACCGAGCTGGACGTAGCGGCCGGCGATGGCGCGTTGGGGGCACCAAGGAGGGCGTCCGGAGTTGGCTTGTTTTACCATGAAAAATGGGGATTTGGATGGTTTTGGAACATAATGGCAAATTCATGGAACATTCATGGAACATAATAGAGTTGGGTTGAAGTTTTACTATGAAATTTTGGGTTTAAAGGGAAATTCGTGGGACATTAATGGAATATCATGGGAAAAACATGGCGACACAATGGGAATATACTGTAGTGGGAATAGCAACCAACCATAATCACAAGTTGGATTATACAGCCACGTTGGGGGATGGCCATCAATCCATTTGCACAGGGTTTGATATACGCATTGATCCAGGAGACCCAATATGAGATGGATGACAATAAGCCATACACCATGTTTTGACCATGACACATATAATCCTGCAAGTCAAATGACTCACAGACAAGATCACTCACTGCCAAGTGACCATAATTGGGGAATAGAATGCCAGGCCAGAGTCTAATCTTTTGCAGGGTAACTAAGATCTGCCATGGATGTTTCTTTTCCCACCAGTTCAATGACAACGAGGTAAATTCTTATTTGGAGAGCACTGTTGGGGCACTTATTTGATCTTCCAAGAGTAAAGTCTGTTGGATCCAGAATGAGTACAAGTGTACAGAGGATCAGTGCTGTTTGGACAGCTGGAAAGGCGTGGTGGAAATTGAAGCCTCAAAACATCAAGACATTCATAACTGGTTGGTGGTTTCAAACATATTTTATTTTCCATAACGTATGGGATAATCCTTCCCATTGACTTTCATATTTTTCAAGATGGTTAAAACTACCAACCAGATAAATACAGAGCTGAAACTGCCGGCTTAGGTTCAACCTTTCCGCACCGCTGAGGCAGTTGGCGTATTGGAAGATGCACGACGGACGCGAGGACCGCGACGTGCTATGTTTTTTTTTGCAACCTCCAATCTTGGCAGGTTGAAGTGGAAAAAAAACCCAAAGCACCACATCTGGAAGGAATCCATTGTTATTAAACACCCCAAGGATCCACGAGGTGTTTGCTCCACTTCCATTATGCCCATCCCCACATGATGGGAAGACCCAACGTATCCGCCGACCGCAGCTGAAGTTAGCATGGCAGGACATGCTCATCGAGGAGCAACCTTTGGGGATGCTGGTGGTACCTTGGAGCCATGGTAGGCGGGTGAAACCCGGCATCACACATGATTCCCACCTCAAAAATTGATAGACACTGACACTTGGACAAAGTTTATGAACATTAATTTACCATCATAAACTCATTTACTATCATAAGTTTGGTCATCATCAACTCCTAGCCATGGTTTATGACATTGATTTTATGACATAATTTGATGACCAACCCATGGTAGGAGTACCCACCCAAGGTCCTCAGCATCTCGCCGGAGCCCAGCATCGAAGCACGTCGCTTGGATCATGGGATCCATATTTTTTTTTGGAGGGGGTTTGGGTGGGGGTTGTTGGCAAGCGGATACTTGGTATAATCATAATGGGAATCATGGGATTTTTATGGAGAATAATGGGATATTTATGGATAATGATGGGAATAATGGAATATTTATGGGATATTGATTTATCATAATGGGATATTTATGGATATATCTCTTTGATCCATTTCCCTTGGTGATACTGCTGGGATTGGTAGAATTTCAGCCCCCCTTCCTTACTCCTTTTTATTTTTTTTTGGTGTCTGTGATGATTCTCATGGTATTTGTAGGAGCAGAACTGGCCGAGGCAAATATCGCTTGCCCAGATCCTTGCGCTACACCGAAGGGCAGGCCTTCATCGATCTGCTGCACCCCCAGAGGTGCCGTAGGGGAAATTTCGGGTGCAGTTGGACCTTCCCATGGCATCCAACATGTTGAAACATGGAGGTTTCGGTTTGACACCAACATGAAGACTAGGCATAAATATATACTGCATGTGGCACCAGATGTTTCAGTTACTGACTTACTCACAGATTTTTTGAGTGCACCGATCACGCACCTGAAAGCCGATATCCAGTGGAAAACTCCATGGTTTACTGCTGGCCGAAGCGCAGGTTGGCCATGGTCTTCACCTCCTCCAATGGTCCCTTGGCGAGACGGAGCAGTGAAGTGGCAGGGGCCAAGGAGGGAAAAGACTTGGGGGCAGGGTAGTTGAAATGGGGGAAGATTTCAAATGTCCAGGTAAAGATGGGAGAAGATAGCACCTCTGAAAATTAGGGTTTGTAAAGTGGGAAAAATCGACCACATTGCGATTTCAGTTGGAAAAATGACTGACTAACCAGTGGACTTAGGGGTACCATGGGAGTCTAGGTAGATGATAGGATCCTAGCTGACATCGCAAGTATGATGGCAAGTGTAAGCAGAATGATCTCAAGAAAGGCTAGTAAGGTTCCATCAGGTTCCATAAGGTTCTTGCAAATGTCCCTATTATCCAACATGTATGAAGGATAAACTCAAGTAAGGCCAGTCGGGTTTCTATTATCTAAGAAGTATGAAGGTTCCTATTATCATACTGGTTGACGTCACTATTATCTTCTGGATGTGTCGCCTTGGTCTGAGGAACCTTCCTATTGGTCCCGGCAGAACTGGACCCTTCGCACGTGTCCATCTTCGCACCAGTGGAGACGGCGGTGAAGGTGCACTGTTGGGGGGGTTGGCAGAAGGGAAGATAGCTAGAAGGTGAAGTATTTCAGGTAGACAGCTATCAACTCTTTAGGTGAAAATCTCAGGAGAATGTCAAGTGGAGGATTCGGTAGTTTCAACATTCCAAAGTCTGAAACTTGCCATGCCCCCCCCGTTGTCAGGATCTGGAGGGTAGCGACTGGATGGTGCAGCTTGGCGACGACGGTTGTCCTGGGAGGAGCCATCTATCTATCTGATTAAAAAGGAAAAGTGACCTTAAACAATCCAACTTTTTTTTTGTGGACTATGGTATGTTTTCTCTTTGTATCATATTTTTTGAGGGGTAACATGACCAGTCAACAACATGGGGCCTGGAAAGACAACCAGTCCATAGTCCATTTGTGGTTCCGGTCCAAGGGCGCAACAAGTCTGGACCCATACCCACAGGAGAAACGGGATTCCCGTTGGTCATGTATATACCATGGGACGTTGAAAAGAAAACATCCATTAGAAAGTGTTTTTCATCTTCAAAATGGGACTTTAATGGACTTTCACTGCCGGGTTTGTTTACTGGAGGGTAGAAACCCCGGAAGAGCAGAAGAGACGATAAAACATGCAGACAAACTTATTATGATTCTATTTACTAGCCAGATTCTGGGTCTAATTGATGGGATTGATGACATGTCATTATATATATATATATGAATCAGCCGTACCCCTTTGTGTTTTCTCATATCTGGGTTTGCTACTTGACGAGTTGATTGAAATTCCATGACTGGCCCCCTGAAAAAAGGCCTGACACAAGATCGGAAAATCACTTTCCAGAGCTGCCATCCTTTGGATCCTCCCCTCCAAGCCTTGCCGCCCTCTCAAGGTGCCGTGGAGTGTCACTGCCGCCGTTGTAGCTTGGTCCGGCCGCGGGTGTGGATGGTCAGAGACGATGTCATCCCAGTGAGGTTTGGGCAGGACATAAAAAAGTCATAAAACACGTCATGTCCAACCAAGTTTGGTTGTGTAGGAAACCATTCCCACCCCTTGATGGAACTGGCATAATTAGTCTATTTTTGGTCCGGCATTGTTCACTTTTAAGGTCCTAGATGGTTATAGCTGTCCGCAACGTCGTGCTGAGGCGCGATACCTGTAAAGAAACCGCGCGCTCCGATGCTCGGCAGACGTAGTCCATCCCTTCCAAACATCCTTCAGGGGCTGAAATTTGGTTCTAAGAAACTCAAGGTTCCAGTGTGTCAGCAATGGCCTTACAAGGAAACCCTTAGAAGTGGATGACTCAGATTAGTTAGCTGCAAGGAAACATGCATAGATGCATAGATGCAGCTACTCACTACTCAAGCTTGGTTGAGCAGTGTGTGAGATCCAGTCTTTTGACTTCAATGGCTATATTTAATAATCTTCTGAAGAGTTTCAGCTAAAGTTCTTGAAACTCAAAAGTCAATTTGCTTCAAACGCAGTCCCCGCACAAGAAGTCAATCTTGTGGGCAGATCCCAGACATTGGTCTCCCCTTAACCCCACTAAATCCCATTAAATCCTCAATTTTCCCATAGAAATCAACCCATCTCCCAGCTCCTCAAAAGGGTTCAACCACCGGACATCTGACCCTTTCGGACGCCCGTTGGACGCCCAAGGACATGTGGCTGACCGCTGGACTGGTGATCCTTTGGATCGTCGGGAGCCCAGCTGGCTCCAATGGTCTCTGGGAGCAAGCCTTGGCGACCTTGGTGATAGTTATACCTCTGCAGGTGGACAAAGAAATATCGAATAAATAAATGAATAAATAAATATATATATATATATACTGTATACATAATTATATATATATATATTTGTAATTCAAGATGAACATGCATATTCTGATTTGTGTCTGAGACTCAGCCAACAAAACACATTCAACAACTGCAAAAGCTCCCTAGATGATGCGAGCCCTGCGCTTCTCTCGGCCATGGCCATCCAGTCGTCGTTCAACGAGCTCCCTTTGTACTGCTGCACCATCTTGGTGGCAGCGTGGATGGCCGCGCCAACGGGTTGGAAGCATGGCTGAAGCGGAGCTGTTGGCGCCGCTGGCCGAAGTGTTGATGCCTCATGTGCCCATTGCGGAGCTGTTTCGAAGTTTTCCTTCCCCCAAGGGGTGGGGTGGAAACTACTTGGAACCGGATTTGGCGGCCTATGGCGTGTTGATGGATGAGAATGCGGGGCTGTTTGTGGAATATGATGGATACTGGAGGCATGGGGAAAGGGAAGGTTTGGAGATGGATCAGAAAAAGAATGACGCCCTGCTGATGTATGCCCCGAAAGGATCCTATGTGATTCGCATCAGCCATACCATCAGCAGACCACTACAGGACAACGTCCTCTGGGTCAAAGCAGACACCTGGCGTTCAGGTTGCCCAAAGGGAGTCTCGAAGATCCATCAAGACATCCTCAAGCAAGCACTGAATGGACTGTGTCTCCAGCCTGAAATGGTGGAACGCTTGAAGGTGCAGGCAAATGATGCAATCATCTTACCATCTACTACTTCGCTTCGCTTCATCAATGCAGCCGTAGCGGCAAGGAAGGGAGACACGCTGGATGATATCTCGTGGTTTCTGGAAAGGGAAGGATTTGGCAAAGAGGATATCAATTTGATGCTGAGGAAGGGTCGGTTGCGTGGAATGTCAATTGAAAGAAAACTCGAACCTTCACTGCGATGGCTGTTGTCCTTGGGACTGACAAAGAGTAAAGTTGCCAAGGCAGTGGCCACCTTTCCTAATTTTCTTGGCCTGAGCATCGAGCAGAACTTGAAACCCACTGTGGAGTGGTTGTTGAACTTGGGACTGACAAAGAGTCAAGTTGCCAAGGCAGTGGCCACCTGTCCGCAAATTTTAGGCTACAGCATCGAGAATAACTTGAATTCCACTGTGCAGTGGTTGTTGGACTTGGGCTTGACAAAGAGTCAAGTTGCCAAGGCAGTGGCCACCTGTCCTCAATTTCTTGGCCTGAGCATCGAGCAGAACTTGAAACCCACTGTGCAGTGGTTGTTGGACTTGGGCTTGACAAAGAGTCAAGTTGCCAAGGCAGTGGCCACCTCTCCTCAACTTCTTGGCTATAGCATCGAGCAGAACTTGAACCCCACTGTGCAGTGGTTGTTGAACTTGGGACTGACAAAGAGTCAAGTTGCCAAGGCAGTGGCCACTTGTCCTCCAATTTTAGGCTACAGCATCGAAAATAACTTGAAATCCACTGTGCAGTGGTTGTTGGACTTGGGACTGACAAAGAGTCAAGTTGCCAAGGCAGTGGCCACGCTTCCTCAATTTCTTGGCCTGAGCATCGAGCAGAACTTGAAACCCACTGTGCAGTGGTTGTTGGACTTGGGCTTGACAAAGAGTCAAGTTGCCAAGGCAGTGGCCACCTCTCCTCAACTTCTTGGCTATAGCATCGAGCAGAACTTGAACCCCACTGTGCAGTGGTTGTTGAACTTGGGACTGACAAAGAGTCAAGTTGCCAAGGCAGTGGCCACTTGTCCTCCAATTTTAGGCTACAGCATCGAAAATAACTTGAAATCCACTGTGCAGTGGTTGTTGGACTTGGGACTGACAAAGAGTCAAGTTGCCAAGGCAGTGGCCACTTGTCCTCCAATTTTAGGCTACAGCATCGAGAATAACTTGAATTCCACTGTGCAGTGGTTGTTGGACTTGGGCTTGACAAAGAGTCAAGTTGCCAAGGCAGTGGCCACCTTTCCTCAATTTCTTGGCCTGAGCATCGAGCAGAACTTGAAACCCACTGTGCAGTGGTTGTTGGACTTGGGCTTGACAAAGAGTCAAGTTGCCAAGGCAGTGGCCAACTTTCCTCACATTTTAGGCTACAGCATCGAGAATAAGTTGAATTCCACTGTGCAATGGCTGTTGGACTTGGGACTGACCAAGAGCCAAGTTGTGAAGGCAGTGGATAACTTCCCCCAAATTCTTGGATGCAGCATTGCCAAAAACTTGAGTCCAAAGACATTCGTTCTCAATGACTTCTTCACAAAGAACAGATCAGCAGAACTTGTAGGCAAATGGCCTCAACTGCTGGGCTACAGCCACCGTCGGCTCACAACTAGGCTCAAGATACTTGCAGAACAGGGCAAGACTGACAAGCTAACCAGTGCTATGCCCCTCACGGAAGAAGCTTTCCAGAGGCGCTTTCCGAGCGGTGCAAAAAAGAGTACGAGCTTTTTCGACATTTTGTTGCTCCTGTTCAGGCATGATTGAGGATATATCATGGCGCGGGAGGAAAGCATTGAGTTTGCAGGGCGAGGTTTTCTGTGGAAGGTTTGTGTGAAGAGCCGTGCAGAGAGCTCCATGCTTACTTTAAATCTTTAAAATCATAACTCGAAGAGTTCTTGGCGTAAGCATAACTCGAAGAGTTCTTGGTGTAAAACCTTTTCATTAGCCAGCGGCTTTCTGTGATTCGGAACTTTGTGCGAAACCTAATGTACTTGTAGGGTGTAGTTTCAAGATGTTTCAAGAATATCCTGTTCAAGATATCGATGCAGCCTTGGATCATGGTCGAAGCAATGTTGCCCCATGTCTTTGCTTCGTGTTCACATCAGTTCAGGGCAATAGCAGATCAACCGAAGGGTTTTGCGAATAGGTCGATTGTTTTTTCGCTAAACTTGTGAAACACATGATAATTATTTGTATACATTTGTGCAATTTCCCGTTACCTTGAACTGCCGTAGTCTTCGATCTTTGAGACTTTTCCGCAATTTCTCTCAACTGGCTTCACTCTATGATCCCTATGATGTGCAACATTCTTTCTAGTCGTTCTAGCCTTGGAACAGTAATAATTGGCAGATGGACAGTCACACTTTGGGTCGGCCAGCAGAATCAGGTATACAATTTAAAACCAATTGATTGACAGAAAGCTTTCTTGGTTCCAGAGAGAGGGTAGTGAGGCACCCGTAGTCATCAGCTGAACCAAAGATTGAAATTACATTCTATGATCTCAGATGGGCTGAGAAGCAAAGTTATGTGAAGTGGAGTTGGGCCATTTTCATACAGTTGATTTTCTGGTGAACCTGTTGTGTATCCAAACAACCTTATCTTGCAAAACCAGATGAATGTAGCAGTATATTCCAATCGCCCTGTTTTGCTGAACCCTCGCTAGGAGGCAAGAAACATTCGAACACATGTTCCTTGCGGAACGAGAGCTCTATTCAGATTGTTTCTTCAGATTGTAGAGAATCATCATGACCAAACTTCTCCGAGGAAAGGCTCAAGTGCAAGCCCTCCTAATGCGAGCCCTACGCCTGTTTCGGCCATGGCCATTCTCTGGCCGATCAGCCGGGACCTTTTGTGGTTCAGCACCATCTTGGTGGCAGCGTGGATGGCCGCGCCAACGGGTTGGAAGCATGGCTGAAGCGGAGCTGTTGGCGCCGCTGGCAGAGCTGCTGATGCCTCATCTGCCCATTGCGGAGCTGTTTCGAAGTTTTCCTTCTCCCAAGGGGTGGGCTGGAAACTACTTGGAACCGGATTTGGCAGCCTATGGCGTGTTGAAGGATGCGAATGCTGGGCTTTTTGTCGAATACGATGGATACTGGAGGCATGGGAAAAGGGAAGGTCTGGAGATGGATCAGAAGAAGAATGAAGCCTTGCTGATGTATCCTCCAAAAGGATCGTGTGTGATTCGCATCAGCCATACCATCAGCAGACCGTTGCAGGATAACGTCCTCTGGGTCAAAGCAGATACCTGGCGTTCAGGTTGTCCAAAGGGAGTCGCGAAGATCCATCAAGACATCCTCAAGCAAGCACTGAATGGACTGTGTCTCCAGCCTGAAATGGTGGAACGCTTGAAGGTGCATGCAAATGATGCTATCGTCTTACCATCTGCTACTTCGCTCCGCTTCATCAATGCAGCCGTGGCGGTAAGGAAGGGAGACACGACGGATGATATCTCGTGGTTTCTGGAAAGGGAAGGATTTGGCAAAGAGGATATTAATTTGATGCTGAGAAAGGGTCGTTTGCGTGGAATGTCAATTGAAAGAAAACTCGAACCTTCACTGGGATGGTTGTTGTCCTTGGGACTGACGAAGAGTCAAGTTGCCAAGGCAGTGGCCACCTGTCCTCAATCTCTTGGCCTGAGCATCGAGCAGAACTTGAACCCCACTGTGCAGTGGTTGTTGGACTTGGGACTGACAAAGAGTCAAGTTGCCAAGGCAGTGGCCACCTTTCCTCACATTTTAGGCTACAGCGTCGAGCAGAACTTGAAACCCACTGTGCGATGGTTGTTAGACTTGGGCTTGACAAAGAGTCAAGTTGCCAAGGCAGTGGCCAACTTTCCTCGACTTCTTGGCTATAGCATCGAGCAGAACTTGAAACCCACTGTGCGATGGTTGTCAGACTTGGGCTTGACAAAGAGTCAAGTTGCCAAGGCAGTGGCAACTCATCCTCAAGTTTTTGGCTACAGCATCGAGAATAACTTGAAACCCACTGTGCAGTGGTTGTTGAACTTGGGACTGACCAAGAGTCAAGTTGCCAAGGCAGTGGCCACTCGTCCTCAAATTCTTGGATGCAGCATTGAGAATAACTTGAGTTCCACTGTGCAGTGGTTGTTGGACTTGGGACTGACAAAGAGTCAAGTTGCCAAGGCAGTGGCCACCTTTCCTCACATTTTAGGCTACAGCGTCGAGCAGAACTTGAAACCCACT